GCTGAGTAGATTCTATTAGCATTGCCTCTCTTAACTGCAGATGATGGAACCTGGGGCAGGATCAGGGCCTCTGAAATAAAGACAGAGGACAGAAAGAGTTTGTTTGCTACTTGGACACCTTGCTGTACACATTCATGATGTGCAGTGCTTACACTTACAGTACTGAGGGAGTTACATCCCATTTTGAGCTTCCTCTCTTGCATTATCACATAAATAGCATCTTAAAATACATTGCATGTCTTATCTGGGACCAAGATGGGCTTGGCAATGAGTGCAGCTGGGAAAGAAGAGGACATGTTTAAAGTTTTTCCTATCAGTGAGAACATTGCTCGGTACACTGATTGAACTTACTTTGCTGCTTTGAAAGGCTCCTGCCTTTAAAAAAAAAAAAAAAAGTGGAAGATGCGTGCTAAACAAGAGTCTGCAGGACAAGTGGGACAAGGTTGATGACAGAAGCAGGACACAAAAGCTTTCCAAAGAAATGTATTTTTAGTCTTGGACACAGAAGATAAGATCTTAAATGCATGTGTCACAAGCCCTGGGTTGTCATGATGAATGGCGTTTTTGGATGCTTGATTTGAAACTCTGACGTTTAACTTGCAGAAGTTGTAGATGCTCACAGCCACACACGAAAACTCAACGCATACTGTATTTTGATAAAGTATAGTAATGGTGCTAAATCAGCTGAAAAATCCAATTCCAGTTGTCTCTGGTTGGCCGTTTTAAATTACTAGATACTTTTTGGACTTAATCTCTCCATGGTTCACTTGAATTTTCAGGACTGCTGTGGAAATTAATTCAGATTGGTGAAGCATTTCCCTAGGAGGGAATTAAACAGCTTTGTGGGAACACAGTTTGAATTGTATTTGGCAAAGGAGAGATGAGGCTGTGCATGAGACAATGAGAATAACAGAACATGGAATAGCTCCTCAGTTAGGGGAGTGCCATGCATTCTGCTTGTTGGGGAAGGCGTGGGTTTTGTAGAGAAATTCTTTGATCACATTATTAAAACGTTCCTGTTGTTAGGTGCATATAATGTGCAAAAGTATACTGAATTAAACCTTCATAGGTATGTCTTAATACCTGGGTGCTTTGCAACCTTAATGTTCATTTAACATAGTCTGTATGTAGAATTTAACAGTGCTAGCGTATTGCACATAGAAGCATTACCTGGGATCATGCTAAGTACTCTATAGACTCCTTAAATGACGTATTTCATGTGCCAAAATGCCTAGCATCCATGGACTTATGAAAGGATAGGTGAAAGGCAATTCTCATCTAAACAGTCATTGCACAGTAGAGCTCTGAAGTTCACAGGAAATTTCAGCTGGGAAAAGGGACTGACAGCCAGTATCACTTGCTCAGCAGTGAACTTTGGAGTCAGTGTTCTGCAGCATGAGAAGGGATTTTCAACAGCCAAAACAGTGACCGTCTTTAGGATGTGGATTTTCCTAGATGTTTGGGTAGCTAGATCTCTTGTTTAGGCTTTCTCCTCTCTATGTCTGAATGACGTGCAGTGTATTTGTCTCACCTTAGCAATGCAGTGTTGCCCTGTTCATATCTGTCTAGAATACTGTTAAGAAGATCATTTTCTCAGCCTTCTGGTTTGGACTCTGTCTCAAGAGTTCAAGTGTACCTCCTGGATCATGTAAAATATAAATATAAACACTCACCTTCAGTTTCTTGATACCAGTCATCTATTCTTTTCACAGCATGTCTTGCTTGATTTGGAGAAGTCACCTCCCTTTTCCTCCAGTGGGTCCATTGAGCCAGCCTCCGTTGTCCTTTCAATTTGACATTTCATGTGGACCCTCTTGCATATTCTCATTATTCCATGAAACCTCTCTCATGGTTCTCCATACCCCTCCATCAGAAATACTCTTGTCTTGGAGGGTGTGCCGTGCCTTTCAGTATGACCAGTATTCTGCAACCTGCTTAATTTTTCTGGTTTTGTGCAACATTCTCAAGGGCTTTGGGAGAAGGGCTGCCACTTTATGTTGCTAGGCTTGGCAGGGTAGGCTAAGATGCTAAGGGGCTATTACAAGAATAAACTAAGAATGATTTTCAGATAACATCAACCTGCTGTGCTCAGGAAGAGGAGAAAGGAGAGTGGGAGATGTCCTTGCAGCTCTCCTGGAGCAGAGGAGAGATCGTTGGTGGCTTCAGAAGCTGGAATGTGTCAAAAGAAAGTAACTTGTTGCACAACACTGACCATGATCGTGAAGGTCTTGGAAGAAGCGGGGCAAGGGCAGTATGAAGGTGGGATTCGACCGGTGTGTTGCTCTGTCCCTTCCTTTCACAGGGTTGTTCATCTGGAATGACAGCTGTCACCATGCATCATAAGAATCAGTCTCAAAAAAGTCTTAGATGCGGTTCTTCAAAGTTATCTCGGTGTTAAATGCAGCGTGTTGCTGTCGCTGAAATCCATCTGTAACCCTACAAACTGGTGAGACTGGCTTTAAAGCCTAGAATAACTCTGAGCAGTTTGTGCGGATCTAAGTGGTGATGGCAGGGATGTCATGTTAATCAGCAAAGTCAGGTTCCAGAGGAGTAAAATGACTGGCTGAAGGCCAGCATGTCTTGCTGTCTTACAGCAGCTGAATCCTTGTGATGAGTCTGGGGATTAGAGGTGATAAACATCACGAAGTGCAGCCTTAGAGGACGTGCCCTGTTTTGCCGGGCACCCGTGGCTAGATTTGTCTTCAACTTGCATGATGATACAAATCTCAGAAGGTTCAGGGCTCATTACTTGCTTCACTGATAGCTCTCATTTATATGTAGCCTTCCTTCCCAAAGGGATTCTAAAGTAGATTACAGACGATAGCACTGCTATGGTATAGCTCGACCCAGAGGTGCGAGAGGCAGCAAGCGGAGGCTCTGCACAACATGATGTGGGGGAAGTTTTGGCAGAAGTTATCCAGACAAGCATTTGAAAGTTGCATTTGCCAAGGAATTCTGGATTTCCAGGTAGAGGGACCACTTTAAAACTCTTATCTGAATGATCCACATACAGCAAGTTAGAGGGAGTCCACAGATCCACTGAATATTTCATTGCAGTCAGCAGGGAGGGAGCTGCGCTCTCATGTTTGTGAGCAGAGAGGCACAGGGAAGGTTGAAAGAGAGCAGTGTTCTCTCCTGAGTTAATATTTAGACAATGCTACCTCTTTTTTTCATAAATACTTCTATTTTTGTATTCCTGTGCTTCCCAGAAAGCTTTGCAAGTATGCTCTCCAGAAACTTAAATACTGTGTTTAGCCTTCGCTGTAGTTACTTCTCTTGGCAGAGCTGTGCTCGCTGTTCTCGAGCTTCTGATTACGGGATACGTATTTTTCATTTTTAATTCCTTGGTGTGTCTTTACTCAAATTACCTCCTTCCTTGCCAGCAGTGGAGGTCGGGTCCCACCACAAAGTAATTACTAGCACTGGAGATGTACAAACTTCTTCCTCCTTCCAGGCACCCAGCTTCTGCCCAGTGCCTGTGTGTGCCATATGCGTGTGTGGTCTTAATAGCAAGGACAGAGAGCAGCACAGAAGCCATAAGCCCGTTCTTATTTTTGTTACCTGTTTGCAGCTGAACTCTGTTGACATCTCACCAGCCTGATTCGTTCAGATGTGCAAGGGTCTTGTGGCAGCCTTGCAGACTGCTGGTGGCACAGCCACAGCACCCTGGCTGCCTCCCTGCTGATGCAGCATGCAGTTCATTCGAAGCTCTGTTGATGTTTACTAGCCGTACTGTATATGTGCTTGCTCTCTGCTCCTATTCTGTGTGTGCAATAAATGCTCTGTATGAAGGCAGGAGAAAGCTTTGAAAGAAAGGTCAACACTCTTCTCTTACATATTTTTGGCCTCAGATTACAGCTGCTTGATTTAATGGACATGCTTCTTACAACTATTGACCAGTTTTGGCAGAGGACTGCGCTGTACGCTATCGGGATGCAGTACAGCTGGTGTAGGGTACTCTCCTGCAAGAGAAAAGAACTTATATGACTGAACGAATGGGAATTTTTTTAAGGCAAAATCGCAACTGCCAAAAATGCATTTGATTTTTTTTTTTTAAGTGGGGTTGTTAATAGCTATGTGGAATTATTTGAAGGGTTGAGCCCTTCCAAGTTCTTGATCTTCTATCATACTTGAGACCTGGGGAGAATAAGTCCCTTTTCAGAAAGCCAAACAGTGGCTGCCTCATGAATAGAAATGGCGAGCTACCAACTTACCATGCCGACTTTCTTCCAGTTCTTGACAGTGCAAGGCAAACCTTGCAGCTTTGTCCAGTGAAAAGTTGCATGGCTTTATCCTGATTAGTGAGCTTGCAGTAAGTGGGGCTAGCGAGCAATTCTGCCAACATGTGATGCACCTTTCATTGCCGCCAGTCAAAATATGCATCCTGTGCTATGACTTCCAGAGGCTTTGGGGAGGAAATTAGCTTGATGACCATAGCACTGGTGCTCCTGTGAAATCATCAAAGCCTTTATCCTCTTTTATACTTACTAAATGAATCCTTGGGGTAAAATTTTTGAAGTTGAGAGTGTGAAAAATTCTTTGTTCTTGAAAATATAATATCACCGCTCCCACTATTTAATGATTGCAAGCAGTAGAAGGAGCAGAAGTCTGGCTACACGCTATCTGTACAAGGAGGAATAAAACTGAGTCAGCAGGCATTAGCATGTGTAGGACATGGCTCCTGGCTGCTTTACCCAATGGCTTGTTTAGTCTTGTTCTGCTATGTGTTAGCAGCTTTTGGCAATGTACAGTGATTAGTGCTCTGTGTCTTTCCTCGCTGCTCCTCTCTGTATCCTGGGGCTAGGATTAGGTTACAATCCTGAAATGGCATGGTTGTCTGCATTGACTGAGAGCTGAATAGTAAGGGCAGAGTTTTGTTGATAGACTGAAATGCCTTCTGTGTTTGTTTCCCTTCTCTGGAGGAAAGGTGACATTATTTTCATTTGTAGTCCTACTGTCTCTGACCTAAATGTGTGGTGTCCAATTTCCTTCCCTGGCAGGTGACCTGGAAAATGAGGAATGGTGTCTGGGTACAGAGCTGACTCCAGCAGCAATAAAGACTGAGCCAGTGTTGTGCGAGACATCTTGCCTTGCTCCCTCAGTCAGTCTCACTGTCACGTCCACGTCGCTGGAGGGGGAACAACCTGACCTACAGACGGATGCCCTGGTACATGCAGACTTTCTGTTCTCGTCTCTGCACAATTAGCTACAGATTCTCCTAAGACTCGGCATGCCAGCCTCCTTGGTGCTAAAGGTTGTCGGTTCATGGTGCACAGTGCAGTCTGCCTTAATGTTTTTTAATGTTTGCTGGTGTCCCACTACTGCTGTAGGAGCTTGTGTTTCAAACCACTTGCCTGCATCTTCAGGTCTTAGCTTTCTCTTCTATGCTAGTCCCAAAGCCTGGGGCTCATGCATTTTTAAAAATATTTAAACAGTTTCTAATGAAGCAGTCCCACCTGAATTGGCTAACTCATTTGCCCTATCAAGCCTGTGATAAGCTAAGTGTCTTCCTTAATAACTTGCTTTAGTGCTGCTGTGCCTTCCTCTAATCAGAGCAAGACTCTGTGTTCGAAAAGACCGAAGAGTTTCCCTGTTTGCCTGATAAGTCACTTTTGTCAGATCTACGAAGCTTTGACATTTCAAACTGCTGCTGCTTCCACACCAACCTGCCTTGTAAGGAGCGTTTGTGATGCCTTTCTGACCACAGCTGGAGCAGCCGGTGGGCATTCACAAGGGCTTAGTTTGGCTGTGGTTAAGTAGAATGAACTGCGGCAGCTAATGGCTCACCAGAGTCCCCTGTCAGTGGAGGAAGAAGCATGACTGTCCTCAGTCCCCAGGGTGCAATGTCAGTGCAGGCCAGGTGGAGTTAGTAGATGCTGAAAATAAATGTTTCCATTTAGGTATGGATCAGAAATCTATGAGAAATTGAAAAAAATTAAACACAAGTTTCCCATAATCCTTTTCTAGTCTGAATGTGCTGTCCCCAGTATGTAGTCCTGCTGTAGCTTGGGATACCGTGATTTGCAAAGAGTATACTGGGACTAGCTGGTGGCTCATTACTGTTGCATGGATTAGCTACACAGGTTATTGAGAGAGATTTTGGCTGCAGTGAGCACACTGATGTGCCAGACTGACTTCCTCAAGCCTGGGACTGAGCGTTCAGGCAGACGCTGGGCAACAGCTTGGCAGCCTGGTGCCCCAACCCTGTCAACAGGGCAAGCCACATGTCTTCCAAACTTCAGTCAGCTGTGAGTGTATCTTTTCCTGTGCCTCCCCACTGTGAAATGAATTTAGGTTTGATAATCTGGTGCTCAGTGACTGGCACTTGCTTTTGCTCCTAGATGACAACTGTCTTGAACAGGCTCTCCCCCACTGCCAGGAGTGTTTCTGTCTCTGCTGAAACAGACTGTGCAGTCCGGCAAATCCTAGCGGCAGCTCTGTTGCTAAGAGAAGTAATTTGAGTGGGTTGCATGCTAGCTTTCAGTCTGAAATGTCATCTCTGAGGCATAATCTTTTATTTGGCTAAATATAGGAGTAAGAAAAGCCACAGTGGGAGTAGTCAGGGCAGTATTCTCTGTAGCCTGGTTTAGGAAACTGTGTGAAGCAGTTAAAGCTTTGCCTGTAGCAGAGCAGGAGGAGAGGAAAACCTCTCCATTTATGGAGAAGTCATCCTTGTATACTTCTATTAAGATGTTTAAGATGTGTGCTTTGGGTTTTCAGGCTGTTCATTTCTCTTTTCTAGATGAAACCACTGAGCCAGAAAGTTCTTCCAGAGATTAAATTGGAGCCCCATGAAGTGGATCAGTTCCTGAACCTCTCTTCTAAGGAAGGTCTGTTAGTTACCAACCCAAAATGTAAGGGAAGATGACCAGAATGCACAATGAACATACTTTACTCTGGTTAAATATTTGGCTTCCTCCTTCTCCATGTTAATCTTTAGGCTGAAGCTGTTGCCTTCTAGGGATTCAACTCAGGCTGCTGAAGAGCTAGCCTCTCTCTGACCCTCTATGTGCTTTTTCTTTTTTTTTGCCTTGCTCATCACAAAGAAAATGATCCCTTTTTTGTCTGTAGTGTATTAACGATTGTACAGTTGCTGGAGGGAGCTTGAAGCCTTAAAGTACAGGATTATTTAGGCTATAAGAGAAACCAATTTGAATTTAACTAAGGCATGGAAAGCATGAAGAACGTAAGCGGAAACTTCACTGGTTTATCCTCTGATGCAAAAGCAAGGATATGAGTTTATATTAAATTAAAAGTTAGGTGCATCTGTTGTAGCATATTATTTTTAGTAGAGTTTTTAAGAACCACCATGATCCCTTTGTGCTACTCTATAAATAAGGAGTGAGGAGCAATGATCCCTACCCTGAAAGTTAAACACAGATTTGTGGCACATAATATGTTTGAGAGAGACAAATACTTGGGCTGAAATTTGAGCAGATAACTGCATCCCACTTAGGAACACTTGTTATTCTGTTTGTGAATTTATTCGTATAGGTAAGTAGAACTGCTCTAGGGAGAGAATCAAGTGATATAGTAGGTGTAAAATCGGAGGCTATATATCAACCCAGGGCATAGATTCGATTGCTTAATTTGTGGGATTAAGGGCCTTACTGTTTTTCAAATGTGTATCTTCTGGCAACTACTAGAGTTAAGATGCTAGACAAAAAAAAAGCTCATGTATAATAGCTTTTTTTGGTTACTATTTTCCTTCCTTTGTTCCTCACCACCCATTTGATCTTTTCAACTCAAATTTGCAGAGTATAACAGAAGTGGAAGGTGGCAAATTCAGCCCTGTATCTTCCTACTCCCAATTTTCATTGCTGTAAATTTATGTCAGAGAAAAAATGACTTAGTTATGACTGTTTTGGACATCTGCTAAATTGTCCATGTAATATGAGTAGGTGAGACATTGCCCTGTTTCTCTTGGTCCAGACCCATTTGCTCATGAGCAGCACTTTGCTTACCAAGTCTAGCACAAGTTCTTTGGGCTGCAAGTGCAGTGGAAGTTACTTTGTAGCCCTGGATAGCACAGTGAGAGGGAGGTTCCTGTGGTGGTTACCTACGCTGCTCTTGCTCCGTCAGTACATTAAAGCCTTCACTGTCACTAGGTTATCACTTCCTCACAGTTGTGCCAAACCAGGTCTTTAAGAGGCAGATTATTTCTCCTCTCCCTGTTTATATAACACCTTGGACATGATCCCTTCTCTTGAAAAATACTGGTGATTTGTTTAATCCAGAGCAAAGTTAGGAAAGACTATTGTTTTTGGAGAGAAAGCACGCTGGCTCAGAGCCCGTCTGTTAACATGGTTTCCCAGGGACATGGGACTTGTACTGGAGGGTTATACTTAAACATCAAAGCATTTGGAGAAGCAGCTGAAGTGTAGGTAGAAATGACTGGGGCATATGCACTGAGCCGTCTTTTGTCCAGTGAACCTAAAGATAGCTGCTGTGTTTCATTCCTCCTTTGGAGACCTGCATGCTCTGAAAATTTTCCAAGTTGCCATTTTCGCTTGATCCATTTTTTAGCAGATAGTCCAAGTCTTGGAAAATGGGTGGTAGCGGCTCCAGTGGAAATTTAAATTAGCACCTCAAAACCTTGTGTTATATGTCTCTCTCGCCATTTAGCAGTGGATCCCCTGCATTTGCCTCCAACCCCTCCCAGCAGCCATGGCAGTGACTCTGAAGGAGGTCAGAGCCCAGCTAGATCACTCCCTCCTTCAAGCCCAATCCAGCTACAAGCCACGGCTAAAGTGACATCGCGCACAGCTTCAGCACTCTCCAATTCGCCTCTCCTGACTGCACCACATGTAAGTTGGGGTGGCTTTTTCCAGCATCTATCTATCTGTCTGTCTGTCTTTCTGTCTGTCTTGTTACTGTTTTTGCCATGTATTTGCTAACTTTCTGTTGTTCTTTAGATTAATCCATCTCTGGTCAAAACTGGAGATCCAGTAATTCTTGCTCACTGGTCTGTTCTCTTCCCACAGAGAGCAGCCTGTGCCTCTTCTCGAGGTTGAGACAGGGTTCAACAGTGTTGTTATGTTTCTACCACCATGGATTGTGTTTTGCATTAGGGCCCAGCCCTGCTGGGTTAACCGGTCCCTGGTAGATCTGCATCTGCCCTCTTGTCGAAAGCCAGTGGTGATCTTTAGGGAGGGATTTTCAGTAGTGCTTCTCACATGTTTCTTGCCCTGTTTGAGCCAAGGGAAGTTTTACTATTGGCATCAGTGTGTGCAGAGCTGGGCTGAGAACAACTGTTTTGAGGGAATCCTGTCCCAAAGGTTTAGTCTCTGAATGGAAACTATCTAAAAGGTCTTCCCCTTCCACTCATTCCCAATTGGAAGAAGCTGTTGTATTAGGCAGAGTCTTCTCTGAAGTGGGAGAGCTGCTGCCTCTCTTCCCTAACACCCTTTTCTCTAGGGCTGTGTGCACTTACTGTTAACATTATTTCATTTCTGTGACGCTTGCAGAAATTACAGGGGACCGGCCCACTCATCCTGACAGAGGAGGAGAAGAGGACACTGATAGCAGAGGGGTACCCAATCCCTACCAAATTGCCCCTGACAAAAGCAGAGGAGAAAGTGCTGAAGAAAATCCGCAGGAAAATAAAGAACAAGGTAAATGTTAGTTAGCTTTGCTGGGTCATCCTTAATTTAAAAAAATGCTGCAACAATTCTGCAGTGATGGTTTGGGGTACTGTTGAGTGCTGTAAGATGTCTTTTAATGAGGTGTTCTTCTTTGTTCCTAAACACATCCATGAAATTGTGACAGTGTGCCTCTGTCTAGGTATTTACCTGAACGATAGCCTATTTAGCAAGCAAGGTATCAAGTTGCTGTTGCTTGGCTCTCTTTTAAAACCAGTACAATCCTACCCTTACGGTAGCCAAAAACCTCTGTATTCCAGAGGTTCATCACCATCCATGGTGATGAAGGTGCTCTTTTCCACTGTTTCATGTTTTAAAATCTGACTATGTATTTCAGTGCCCTGGTCTTTTGGTCACTGAATTCCGTGACCTTAATGAACAGTTGATACCAAGGCTATGAAATGCCCTACAAGTCTTTTCTTTCTTCCAACATGGGGAAGAGCCTTGTGGTAGGGAGGAAAGCATTTTTTTTCAGACCTGGCCAGCTCATTTGTTCTAGAGGATATTAACACATCTTTGAAGGTTAGTGCATTCTGTTATTGGTTTTGCAGATAGAGGTGTAAATTTACCTACACTGAATTTGGTCTTGTAATACATTTTTTCAAAATTTTTGGAAATTACCTTGTGCATTTTATGTACCACTTTCATATAATCACAGTCATTTGTTTTAGGGGGATCTCTGAAGGTCTTTTGGTCCAACTCCTTGCTTTGAAAGCAGGGTCAGCATAGAGCAAGTTGCTCAGAGGCTTGTCCCGTCATGTTTTACTGTCTCAGAGGCTGACAAGTCCCCAGCATCTTTGGGCCACCTGTTCCCATATTAGGCCACCCTTGTGGTAAAAACAAATAAGTAGAATTCTTAATGTCTAATTGGAATTTCCCTTGTTGTGAGTTGTATTTATTGCTTCTTGCTATTTTGCTGTATGCCTCTCAGAAGACTGACATCATCTTTGCTACACAAGATAGTTGAAGACAGCAATAAGATTCCCTCCTTAGCCTTCTCTTCTTAAATCTGAACACACCCACCCAGCTTTTTCTGCCTTTCCTGATACGTCATGTGCTTCAGCATGCTTATTATAGCAGCCGTCCCCCTCTAGGCTTGCTTCTGTACATCAAAAGTATTTATTTCAGAGCCACAAACTATACACTGTACTCAACTGTGGTCTTGCAGGCACTGAGTAGAGGAAAGAACCACTCCTCTTGATCTGCTGGCTACAACCTTGTTAACGTAGACCCGGATCTGGTTGGCTGCCTTTGCTATGGGACTGTATTGCTGACTTATGTTAGGATGTGCAAATTTTTTCTACAAAGCTGCTTTCTAGCACGTGCGTGGGCTTTTCCTGTCCCAGATGCAGGCATTGTCCTGGGATCATCTTTTAGTATTTGTCCTAGGGTATTCTCTCCAGATGAATCTGATTTACTTTATAAGGTTAGTTCTATAAGAGCAGGGAATGATCTTTTTCCTAGTACTGAGAGGAGCAGTCTTGCTTCAGGATGTGGAAACAGACCAGGTCAGTGCTTTGCTTACCAGGAATAGAAGTGAGGACAGCATGGAGGCTTGAATCTAATAACATCAGGACTTTTTACCAGTTTATTAATTCTTCTCTAATGCTTTTTTTTTTCTATGCAAATATATGGTGTTTTCTTCCTTTTTCCTTAGATCTCTGCCCAGGAAAGTAGAAGAAAAAAGAAAGAATACATGGACAGTCTGGAAAAAAAGTAAGCCAGCCTCCTTCCTGTTTCAAGTGGGCCAATATCACTAGTTGCTGGACTGGGAAGAGATCCAGCTGTTGATGCTGAGATTGTTTTGTGCACAGAGTGCCAGCTGCCATCTCGTGGTTGTGACTGAGAAGAGTCCTTTCTGGCTTCTGCTTGTGCTGGGGTGCTGCATTCGTGACTTTGTCTACCTCCAGCACGTTGCTAATGTGCTGCAAAGACTTTAAACCCTAAATAAGGCAAGACCCATCTGCTATCAGCCTCCCCCTCATGCAACTCTGTTGGCCTAGTGGGTAGGCAGTGTCCAGGGAAAGGTGGATTCAGAGTGAATACATTCTGTCTGCTAGTGCAGATAGAGACAGAAATAGGAAGTGGGTGAGTCAAGACTGCCTGGGAAATTAAGCAGGACTCAGGAAAACACCATGTGACCCATCGACTTCCTTTAGCAAGAAGGAGCCAAACCCTCAGTTAGTGATTTATATCCCAAGTTAAACTTTCTTCCAACAGACAAGTATTCTAGTATTTCTCTTACGTACTTCACCAGATGGATCTGTTGAGACCCTTGTGCCATCTTTGGTGATATCTTTGATGTAATTTCCTTTTTTTCTTCTTACCTCTTTATGGATGAGTCTTGCTTTCTCAGAGTTACTCTCGTGAAATTCCACCATATACATACAGATATCAAAGCTATTTCCTTTTACCTTTTTCTTTCTTGAAGCTATTCCAGCTGGTCATGTTTGTCTTTTTAGGAGTTCCATATTTTTACTGCATCTCTGATGTGGCACGTCATATGATAACCAACTTTAGTTTAGGGAGTTTCCAGGGACTGTGTGGAAATGAGCACTCTCTTGGAAATGAATCCTTCTGGCTTATTAACCTCCCTAAACTTGAAATTCGAGGATCTGATTTCAGAAGCATGGCATTCGCTAAACTGTGTGGTGCCTCATCCTAGCAATGAAATGCACACATTGAACACTTTTGCACAAAAAACTTGCTAACAACATAAATATAGCATGTTCTGTGACTTTTAAAGTATCTGTCCCATGGCCTTATGCACAGAGAAGATCTGAGCAGGGTCTTTGCTGTTGCTATTTCAAGGGGCAAAAAGTAGTTACAGCCCATTCTGAATGAGCTGCACCTGCTGGGATGTAGTTGAGCACTGTAAGCAGGTGCTCCACAGCTAGTAGTATCTTTTACGATGTCTTTTACACCATGAAGTATGATTAAAGATTATGACTAAAGTTTGTTGGTGTAACTTTTCATTAAATGTAGGCAAGATCATAGAGCTCTCTGTGAAAGCAAATTTAATAAATGACTGATTTTTTAATTCCTCTTTCTTTCCTTGTGCTGTCTCCAGAGTTGAGACTTGTTCAAATGAAAATAGTGAGCTGCGTAAGAAGGTTGAAGTCCTGGAGAATACTAACAGGTAAGATGTGAAGGGAATAAAAGAAAACTGTGATATTACAGTGAAAAGTGAAAATCTGGAAGTTAAGAGATCAACTGAAATGTGAAGAGTAGCTGTATCTGATCTGGTTAATGTCAAAGAAGGATAAAGAAGACCAGCTGTCGTGACTGCGGAGTGATGTAAAGCATAGAGGCTTTGATGTCAGGCTTTAAACTGTCTCCCTAACCTGTGGTGTGCTTGGGAAACCTTTTAACACTCTTCTTCGAGTTCTTCCACTGCCCAAGGAAGCATAGTTAGTGATACATAATAAACAAAAAACTACAGCCCAACTCTCCAAATTGTCTTTATTGAGTGAAAGACTGTTTTGACAGGAGACCTTGACCTGGAGCATGACACTTCCAGAAATTACAGTGCTGAAACTTAAGTGTCATTATTAGTTCCTTCTGGACTACTAGATGTCATTGCAATTATTGTGCACCCTTCTAAATGTCTCACACCCCAGTATTTCCTTCATTTGGAAAATCAACTTCTTGTTTCTTCATTTCTTCATTTCACCAGAAAAAGGTGACTCGATGGTGGGTTTCTCAAAGGACACATGGTAGAAAATGTTCAATAGCTGAGCTTTTAATTGGATGTTAGCTGAGAGCGCAGTGTCAGTCATGGCTTATGCTCGATGAGTTCTCTAATGATGGCAAATTCCAATGAGCAGGTACTAGATAAGACCACTGTTAACACCTTCTAGTGAGAGGCATTTGTAGTGATGAATATTACCATTGAACATGATGGTAGCACTGAAGTGTGGGAGGAGGCTGAGTTTTGAAGATAAGACCCATGATCACAGAAAATGGCCCTAGAGCTTGTCTGGCAGCTAGTGTGTTGCTAACCGAGTGGCATGTGTTGTTTCTAATCTCCGGATCCAATCTCTAATTTCATGGAGCCAGACCCTGTAGCACTGTAATTTGCTGGAGAGTCTCCCACACACTGCTCATGCATAAAGACATCTGCTGCTTGTTTGAAGAGAGCCAAGCCATTTCTGTGCCTCCTGTATCTTCTTTCAGCATTTTACATAAAAGAACCAGGAATTGTTCTGTAGGTGTGGAGTAGGATTTTCTCTCCCAGGATCTGTCCCAGGAGGTGCTGAAGCCAGCTGCTTTAAGGAAGGGTGCAGCTGTGGATGAACCAGTCGGGGACAACATGTTGTCAAGCCCAGCATTGTTCTCCCCAGTTTAGCTAAATTTGGCCAGCTGTTTTCATCTTGGAGTTGTTGCAGATGCGGTCATGGGAACAGCTTTGTTGGTATTGTCTATCCTTTTTAGACAGAACCTTTAGCATCTTCGTTATTATCTGATGTTCTTAAATGTCTCATGCAAAATACTCTAAAAATATTTAGCTAAGTGATATTATCTCTGAATCTTTCATACTCTGGGCATATGGGATGAGTTGCATTGTTTTCTTCCTTTTGCAACAGCATTGATATTGGTTGTTAATCTCCTGCAGAGAAGCAGATGTTCCTGACCCTCTGCACAGAAATTGTTGTAATTCGTGGTGATGCTGTTTTGGCTATATTGATAGAAACTGTACTTAAAATCTGTTAAGGCTTCAAATTGAAGTACTGAGAAATTTGTAAAAGTTCCTGCTTTCATCAAGCCTGAATTATGTAACATAACACATTATGGTTTTTTTCACCTTAAACCCAAAGACCCACTTTTCTGATTTTTTAGTGTATAATTGTGCAACTGTCTCATTCAGAGGATGGTTCCAGGCCCTTTTTTAATGTACATTATCCACTTCCTACATTCAAAATGTCTGGTTTCCTCATTGGTATTTGCACAGAGCCTTGATGTGGCATCCAGAAACTGTTTAAATGTTTCAGAACTCATCTTTACAGCATCCTATAGCTGGTACTTCCACCTCCTATGTACAGTCAGGAATCAAAGTTCAAAGCAATGATGGTCAAAATTATGCAGTGTCAGTTTGTTCTTGGATGCCCAAATTTAAATGTTTAGGACTTTATTTCTCAAAGTACTTAACACACAATCATACACACATGTATCTTATTTAATATGCCCAAAGAAGAGCCCCAGTTGACTTTTGTTGCAACTTTGAGTGTTCAATGCAGTAAAAAATGAAGACATCATTGAAGGTCTTATCTAAAAGTGTATCTACAAGCATTAGAGCTGTTCTTCTGTTACGAAAAATCGTAAGAGTGCAAGAAAGATAACAGGAAAATAAGAGCTGTGATTACATGTAAAAATGTTCATGCATTCAGTTTGGATGAAGACAGAGCTGGTTTTTTTACTTTGTTGGAAAATTGGGTTATAGCCACTTACCGAAAAAGTTCACGCACATGTATGTGCTGTCAGTCAGGGTCATGTTTTTATAGTCTGGCTGGAGCTGAGAGGAACTGAAGGGCAATTTCCAAAACATAAAACTGTTGAACAGCAGAGTTTCCTTCCAGTATGTGTGATCAGTTTTTTAGAGCATGTTATTCTATGTATAGAACACAGTTTGCACAGATACATACTTCAGGCTTCAGGGAAACCCTGCTTGCATTTCAAAATCTGACTGCAAACCATGGAAACACTAGAATTTCTTCTGGTAAAATTGTTCCTATATTATTCTCAGTAACATGAAAAAATTTAGAAGAATCTTCCCCGAGAGCCTACCTTAGCCTGAAATTCTGGATCTGAAGAAATGTAATGTAAAAGGTACAAGTGTGGTCAAATCTTTGCATCCAGAAACATCTCCCTTGACATTTATGTATTTTAAAAGGCAAGGCAGGAGACTGAGGATCAAGATGCAGGGGAGTTTTTAATTCTCATTACTCTGAGTGAGTGACTGCAACATTTTTGGCATCTTTAGTATTAGAACACTAACATATGTTTCCTATCCTAATTTGTGTAGCTCAGTCCCTTAAAAGAAATCCATCTAAGTTCCTTTCTAGGCAATTTTCTCAAAACTAGGGAAGCACATTATTACATGGATATCTGTTATGCCTTATAGCCACATGGCTAGAGCTAGGCTCTCATTGGTTTTAGTAGCTTCTGAACATGTGGGGTACTGCTGTCTTAAAAAGCAAAGGGTGTGAGAAGAAGCCGGCACAAAGAGTTGAACTGACTTGTCCCAGTCACCAAGAAGGCTTGATCCACTTGCCTTTTGGCACTGGGACTGAAGGCAGAAACTGCCAGTGATCTAGGGGGTGGAATATGGTCTCTGAGGCCAGCATTGTCTAGCTGAGAGCCATGGCTATCTTGTATTGTGTGTGACATGAGAAGTAGTTTTACTTTTCACTTCTGTTGAGTCTGTACTTATAAATACATTGGTGATCACTTTTCCTGGAGAAATGATAGACATAGGATCCAGTTAGTGTATGATTGAGAGTGTCACACCTGGACAATGCATGCAAGTAGCTGCTAGAGTTGCTCCCATGGAGTAATGACTTGCAAGTTGTGTAGCTCTCCATTCTGACAGGCACCTTAAAGGCCGTGGCTTTATAAATGCAGTTGGGATGTTCTTCCATTTCTCATGCTCCTGCGCAAGCTATTGAGCAGTCATCTAAAGATCAAGCTGCATATCAGTCTGACCCACCAAGGGTTTATGGGCACCAAAGCTTCCAGACTTCACTGATTTGCATGGCTGTTCCTTTATTGGAGGCTGGTAAAGCCGTTTTACCAAGTCATTTTCAAGGAGTGAAGGATCTGGATTTATGTTGCAGTGAGATACCTTGCACTTCACTTCAGAGTACCCTTATAATAGTTGACAAAGTGTGGCAGCCCTGGAGCGATGCCGTGTTTTCAAAGCAGCAGGACAGTGTTTTTATGCTGAAAGATTTTTGATGAAAAATTGCTGGATTTTTTCTTTGTAATTCAAATGAGGAAAAATTGTGGATTTTTTTTTTTCTTCTTTGAGGTATTCTGGCCCTTCAGTGAAATCCTTACTTTGGGATTTGCTCTCTTTCCTAGAAATAGGACAGGCAGAGAAGGAATCTGTGTGTAGAGTTGGAAGATAGTAATTTCTCTCTCTCCTTATAAAAATTAGGTTTTGTTCCTCACAAAGTAGATAAATTCTCTGAAAGATCTTGATCAAAACAAACAGTGTTTGGTGTCCTCTAGAAGCTGTCTTTTTTTACTTAAATCTATGTTGGATTTTAAACATAAACATTGAATTGAGGAAGCCTCCCAGGTGGCTAGGTTCTGGAGTGACAAATTTCTTCTCCTTAATCAAGGTGTCACTGCAAGTAGCGAGTAAGCCTTGACTTGTTCCTTACTTTGGTAGTGAAAGGGACTCTTCTGAAGATGAATACGTGGATGTGCACCCGAAAACAAGACAACACAGGCAGAGTGAATTTGCTGGCAGCGTGTGGAAGGGAGAGCAGGAGTCTTCAGTCACTTTACAGCTTTCCTATGAGGTGCTTCCATTGGCAGGGAAAAGCGTGACAGCACGTTCACACCTCCTACAGAGGTGACCCTCTAATTGAATATCACTGGGAAACGTGTCAGACACAGTGAAAATAACCCCTGTGGGTGCAAACCCCCTTATGCATGCTGCCTTGGGATTGCATTTTCTCCTGTTAAGACTTAGCCATAGGCGGTGTGTTTCACTAAAAGCATTCGTGGCTTTCTTGCTGCTATTTAGAGGGAGCATCTTCATTTAACCTAAGTTCCTGTTCTACAGAGCAGAGAGCTGCTCCTTTTCCCTCTCTTAGTCCAGATGATCCCTGCAGCCATCCAGTAACAATGAAGGCAGCTTTTGCATGGGAAAGGAGATCTTTTGACCTTGGAATTCAGTCTTCCACCATTCCAGATTCAATCAGAGAATGAAAGCACCAAGGAATGCCCTATTTTGTCAGTGGCAGGTTAAACTGGTATCACCTCTGAACAAACCAACTTGTTTCTTGCTCTTGCCTTGGCTCTTGCTCTTAGTTTGAAAATGCACCTGTAGCCTGTCAGCTCCCAACACCGAGTCTTTGTCTGCTGAGAAGAAGACAGTAGCTCTGCTCAAACAGATAAATGATTTGGGGGAGAAGGACATTTTATGTGAAGGTAGTTGGTAAATAAGGTGGGTGGTGAATCTTCCTCTGTGTATAGGACACCTCAGAATACCTGCCTAATGATACTTTCCAAAAAGAGAGTGTTTTGGATTCAGCTCTCTGGGACCACTCTGCCCAGCAGGTTTTTTAAATTGGACACAAAAAGGCAGAGATGAGCAAAATGAGGAGAATCGCCTCTTCTCTGTTGATTTCCTCACTAGCCATTAGCTGTTTTCTCACTGACGCCTCCACAAAAAGTGGCAAGAGTGATCAGCATTTCAAGGCTGCTGCTGCTGCCAGCCCCCGAGCTGGGAAGGAGGAGAGCTCCTTCCTCCTCGCTCTGCAGAGCTGTTCTGTGTTGAGCCCAGTGACTCAGGCCTGAAACAGGGAAAATTTAGTCTTTAGCACTGAAATTGCAGGGTTAAAAAGGCATTGCTGTATAGCATAGCTGGTGGCATATGGTGGGAATACTGTATGCAGCGCGTTCTGTGCCTGAAAAGGGTATATACCATGTATGCAAGTCTTTGTGAACCCTGTGCCATGTAGTGGATGGGAGGAGGAATTGAGGAAAGGTGCAGAAGGGAGCAGGGAATTAGGATGGTCTCATTTATGTGAGGGACAGTGTTTTCATCTCTTAATTTGCCTGTGGTCTCTCTAATAGTGAATAAAGGACTGAATTAGATGAATCATTTTCTTTTTTTAAATACTGAGTTGCAGAATGAACCATGCTCTCAAGTGCATGAAGACATCCTTCCTTAATAAGTTGAGAAGGATCTGCTGGCCCCGATAAATCTGTGCTGTGAGCATGCTTTGTGCTCATTTCAGAATGCATTCCCGAAGTCCTTGAATTCATTAAACCCTAATTAGCAATGAGCATTGATGATTAAAAAATCTATAATAATAGGCAGACATGTGTATATTGAGCTGAGAAGGCACCTCTGGGTCTGTCCTACAATTAGCTTTTAGCCAATTTGATCTTAAAATAATCCTTCTATTTTCTCTGACATCCTAACCTTGCCTCTTGTGTTAGCATTTGACGTCACAGTCTCCAAAGCTGTTGCCTGGGGTTTTGTGGGGGTTACCCTCCACAGTAAGTTGTGAGACATGCAGAAGAAGTGAAAAGTAAAATTGGTAACAAACAGCAAAGTTAATACCATGATGCAAAGGTGTACTATATTTGACTGTGTCGAGGGCAAGTATTTGGATTATTCCTTGTGTCTGTTAAAAAGCTTTAATGAAAACTGCTGTGAAAACCCTGTATCAATCATTCTTTGAGATAATTTCTCATGTAAAATACTAGTATCCTAACTTTAGTAATTGATGATGATACAGCAAAAGAAAAACAGCCAGAAAGACAGAATACCTTCCTGGTCTGGGACTGTTGATGCCAACCCGAACAGAATTGCCATCATGGGTGGAACCTCTTTGTGGTTGTGACCTCTGAAAGACATGGTCAAAGTAACCAGTTCAAGCATCTGTGATTTTTGTCAACTCCTGGAGAATTTAGCAAATAGCAATACAGTGCTTTGTATTCATTACTACTAACTTCGAGGAGAGGACTTTAATGATCTGTACCTTGTCATAAATGCCGTATTATTGTCAGGTGTGGAATTTGAAGCAAAAAGCTGGTTAACCATCAAGTAGAACAGTGCATTTGATGCTCGTCTGTTGTCTTCGCTTTCCAGAACACTTCTGCAGCAGTTGCAGAGACTCCAAGCCATGGTTGCTGGGAAAGTGTCCCGTTCGTGTAAGGCAGCTAGCACACAGACAGGGACCTGTCTTATGGTGAGTGTCCCTACAGCTGGGAACTGTAGGGGAATGAGAATCTCTTTCCACTGCTCAAAGGCACATCCCTTGTTCTGCAAAGCCCCTCACTTGCAAATTCTCAGCTTGGGAAACTTCTCTTCAAAATTTGACAATTAATTTTGAGGTAGGTGAGACTCCTGGCTGATAAAGATTAATGGTTGTGGGAAGGCATTAAATTTTGGAGGAGACTGGGCCTGTGCTTTTGATTGGATGATGCAATGATGAAAAAAGGAGCACTGCTTTTCTGAGTGACCTGTTTTATTATTTCCTGCAATATTGTATGTGAGAAATGGTGGTTAGTAAAGTTGTAAAGTGAAAACGAGGGGGACCTTTGATGCCCTGTTCTTTTGATACCAGTATAAACAAACATACATATCCAAATAAAAATATGACTAAGGCTGTAAATCTACCTCTGGCCTATTTCAGTAATAGTAGTTGGGATAATAAAAGGATTAGAATGAAACTTTTCCCTTTTCCCTCCTTACACTCAGCCAGCAAATTCCCTTTATGCTAGTGCTATAAATTGATGGAAATTATGTTCAAGATCTAAGTTGCTCTCCTAGTTTGCCAGCCTCTCTGTGACTTCAAAGCAAGACTGGGGCCAGCAGCAGAAATAATCTTGGAAATTCCCAAAAGCGTCTGTAAAACACACATGGTGGTTGTGTCTGCTTTTCAACTTTGGGAGTAAATAAGGTTACAGGCCAAAATGGTGGCAAACATTGAAAACAAACTCTAGCATTGAGATCTGCCCTTTAAAACACTGAACTGTTATTGTATATATGCCTTTGCTAAGAGATACTGTATGTAGTGATGCAAATAGCCTCAACTGATTTGTTTTGAAAAAGTACCAGATCTGCTTTGTGTTGATTCTTAGTTTTGATGTGCGTGTGTGGGCCAAGAGCTAATGCACTTACCTCTTCTCATCCTCCCTTTGCCAGATGGTGGTGCTGTGCTTTGCAGTAGTTTTTGGCAGCTTCTCTCAGAGCTATGGGCCATATCCTTCTGCTACAAAGATGGTGTTGCCCAGGCAGCATTCCTCGCCAGAGTCCTACACAGACTCCATTGGTACGTGATGACTATCCCAGTCTTGCTCCCTGCTTGGTGCTCTTCGGCACTTGTTTTTCACCCTGTGACAGGTTGACCTTGGCTAGGTGCCAGGTGCCCACCAAAGCCACTCTATCACTTCCCCTACTAAGGTGGACAGGGGAGAGAAAATCTGAGAAGTTTGTGGGTCGAGATAAGGGCAGGGAGAGATCAGACAGCAATTACCATCACAGGCAAAACAGACTTAACTTGCAAAAATCAGTTTAATTTATTGCCAATCAAAATCAGAGTAGGATAATGAGAGATAAAACCAAATCTTAAAACACCTTCCCTGTACCCTTCCCTTCTTCCCAGACTCAACTTGCTCCTGATTTCTCTACCACCTTCCCCCTACGCGGCACAGGGGGACGGGGAACGGGCGTTGCAGTCAGCTTATCACACTCTGTTTCTGCTACTCCTTCCTCCTCCGGGGGAGGACTCCTCACACTCTTCCCCTCTACCAGCATGGTGTCCCTCCCACAGGAGACAGTCCTCCACAAACTTCTTCAACGCAAGTACTTCCCACAGGCTGCAGTTCTTCATGAACTGCTCCAGCCTGGGTCGCTTCCACAGGGTGCAGTCCTTCGGGAACAGACTGCTCCAGCGTGGGTCCCCTGCAGAGTCACAAGTCCTGCCAGCAAACCGGCTCCAGCATGGGCTCCTCTCTCCATGGGTCCACAGGTCCCATGTCCCTTGCTCCAGCACAGGCCTCCCACAGGGTCACAGCCTCCTTCACCTGCTCTGGCCTGGAGTCCTCCACAGGCTGCAGGTGGAGATCTGCTCCACTGTGGACCTCCATGGGCCGCAGTGGGAC